CTGGACACGCTGGCCGGAGCCAAATGGTTTTCAACTCTCGATTTAAAGAATGGCTATTGGCAAGTCGACGTACACCCAGACGACAAAGAGAAAACAGTGTTTTCGACAGGACAAGGGCTATGGCAGTTCACAGTCATGCCCTTTGGCCTCTGCAATGCCCCGGCAACCTTCGAAAGGCTAATGGAGACAGTCCTACGAGGGCTCACGTGTGATTCATGCCTTGTGTACTTGAATGATGTGATCGTAATAGGCCGCACATTCCGTGAGCACATGCTCAACTTACGGAAAGTGTTCGAGAGGTTCCGGGAAGCCCGTCTGAAACTTAACCCGGAAAAGTGTAAACTCCTGCAGGAAGAGGTCCGATACCTCGGGCATATTGTATCACCAGAAGGGGTATCCACCGACCCAGAGAAATTGAAAGCCGTGCGAGAATGGCCGACCCCGAAGGATAAACATGAAGTTAGAAGCTTTCTGGGACTATGCGCGTATTACAGGCGATTTATTTCAGGGTTTTCCAACATTGCGAAACCACTAACGAAACTAACGGAAGAGAAACGAACCTTCCAGTGGACTCCAGAAGTGGAGGCCGCTTTTCAAACGCTAAAGGGTGCCCTATGTGCTGCCCCTATTCTTGCCTACCCACAGCCAGGAGAGAAATTCATTGTGGACACAGATGCAAGTAATGTCGGAATTGGAGGAGTTCTCTCTCAAATCCAGGACGGAAAAGAGCGTGTCATAGCTTACTTCAGCAAGACGCTAAACAAAGCAGAGAGAAACTACTGTGTCACCCGTCGAGAACTACTTGCCATAGTGAGGACACTGGAACATTTCCACAAGTACCTCTACGGACAACAGTTCCATCTGCGAACGGACCACTCTGCGCTTACCTGGCTTATGAGTTTCAAGAACTTAGAGGGACAAACTGCGCGCTGGATACAGCGTCTACAGGAGTACAACTTCACTTCGGAGCATCGTCAGGGCCGAAAACATAACAACGCCGACGCCCTTTCTAGACGACCCTGCCAAGAGCAATGTGCGCACTGCCACAAAGTTGAGACGCGGGCAGAGGTAAAACAAATACGCGTTATTGGAACCCTACCGGCAGCCGGCTGGGACCCTGTTACCCTAAGAGAGGAACAGCTAAAAGACCCAGATATAGGCCCTATTCTACAGGAAGTAGAAAACGGCCAACGACCGGAATGGCAGGACATCGCGGATCGGAGTCCCACGTACAAAAGCTACTGGGCCCAGTGGAAATCGCTCGCTGTGAGAAACGGCGTACTAGAACGTGACTGGGAATCTGTCCCTGGAAGACGTCAAGTAGCCCAGGTATTTATTCCTCGGAGCAGGGTGAAGGACGTTCTGAGCGAACTGCCGGTGGACCGTCAGGAGGTCACTTCGGTGTCAACAAAACTCTGAATAAGGTTCGACAGAGATTCTACTGGCTCCAACACGTTACAATATTATATATTGTCTGTGACACACAACAGGATGCAACTAATGAAAAAAGAGACTTCACCTGGGATTGAACCCGGTGATCTTCTGGCTATAGTATAATGCCTTAACCAACTATACTACCGTGCAAAAAAACTTATGCACTGTTCCTTTATTTAAGGAATATTTTCTGTGGTCCAAGCCAAAGCCCAATATAAACAATACATTATTTTCCCACATATCGTGATCATGGTCTGCCATAAATCATTGCACAGCTATAATTTGTGGTGACATCCCAATGTGTATGTGCACTGGATCCATGCCACTTATGCCATCTTAATTGCTTTGATTATGAGCTGGGGTTGTTTCAAGTGTTTATTTAATATTTCATTACTTTTCTGTGTATAAACAGTTTCTTTAACTTACTTATGCAAGGAAACTATTTTATCATAATCATATACATATCCTACAAAAAGCTGAACAGTTTCTTGACCGTAATTTTACTTAACCTGCATTTAGTGCCCCCCCCTCCAAAGATGCATTAAATACAGATTTCACTTACTGATCACATTGTTGCATGACATCTGAGTGTGTGCCCCTGGTAAGTCCTACTGAACTCCTTTAAATTCTGTTATGAACTTATTTTTTTACTCTATTATATATGTCATTAATTTGTTACTCTTTTTGTCAGTCTGTTATTTACTAAAATATGACATTCAATCACCAGATAAGGGATCACATCAAGCACCTTGCATGAAGTCCCACTTGTACAGAAGATTTACATTCTCCAGAATTTCTCAAAATACAATGAAAACCCATCCTTTGAGCATACTGGAGGCAATATATATAGTATTGTGACGTGGATGGCGCAACAGGAAGTACACGTGAACTCTGCGGTCTCGGGAATGATGTCCCCTTCCATTATCACTCATTGCTTGGTAAACACCCGTTCAGCCCGCGGTGACATAACAGAGGAGCAACTGTGTCAGGCAACCATTGCCGCGGTGACGTAACAAGGGATACCACAGTTACTACACAGCAGTAAACAACTCTTGACGGTGTTGCTAGGCAACCTGTAAACACGGTGTCATGCAATAGCGGTACCTATCACGTAACTGTTTTCTGTGTTGTCCGTGCCGAGGCTAAATAAGGAGCAGCGAACACTATTCAGTAGTGAGGATTGAGCCAGTTACGAGTGAGTGAGTTACTAGTCAGTAACAATTAACCAGTCAGTTAAATTGTAGCAGTCGCCAAGTTGGGTTGTATCGAGTGCTTGGCAGTGACTACAGGTGTCATATTTGTGATACTGTCGATATCAGTAATTGTGAGATTGTAAATTGTGTGATTGTGAGAGTGAGTGTTCAATAAATTCGCTATACCAAATATGGTTTGAAATTATTTGTCGCGTGACATATACCCAACACGTGACAATATTTTTCCAGTGTATTTAGGTATTTTCCTTTTCTGTGTGTTCTTTGTTCTTTGACAGGCATGCCCAGTGGTCTATCTGTTTCACCAGTATAGCACCCCCAATTTACAGCTGATAACATACATAAATTGTGTAGTGTCTCGAATATCCCCATCAGAGCTGCTTGTCATTAGTGACCCTTAAGGGTGTCGTTAGTTTTGAATGCAGTCCAAATATTGGAATGGTCCCCATTGTGTCAGAAGTTTTTAAGGCGTACCTCCTGGCATAAGGGGATTGTAATTGAGCAAAGGGGTGTTCTGTCTGTAGAAGGATGATCATTTAACCCTAGTATGTTGATAATGGAGTGAATGAAATTATGAAGATATCCATTGATCACAAGACCTTGTCCTCTATAATTGGATTTGAAATGAAGATAACATATGAGTAGGTTTCCTGTACATCTGTGTGGATGGTGCTCAACTACTTGCTGAAGACACTGTAATATGCAAGCAAAGTGCTGCTTGCTGTCTGCTTTAGACTGCTCTTGTACTTGGCTTGCCGTGACTTCCTTCAAAACAGTGGTTGGCTTTCACTGTACCATGTGGGAAAGATATTCCAGAGGACAGAATTCTTAAAGAGTGTTGTTTCCACTTCCATGGGGAATCATGTGGCTGGTCTAAGACTGTTGACATGATTAAATCTTGGTAGCTTTTCTGGCCCATGTGGCTAAACAACAAATTTGTCATCAGTATACCTTAGATATCTAGCTGATTTGTAATATGGTGTATATAGCAATGCTTTTCAGAGTGTTTCATAAAAGCCAAAGGGAGTGAGCATCCCATTGCCATGCTTTTGATTTGTTGGTAAAATTTATTTTCAGCCAAAAAATACTTTCTATTTAAGAAATGTAATGGCTTCATAAGATCATCATACTGTAAGGGAGAGCAATGTATGAATGAATGTATAAGGGGTGGACCTTCTTGGCCCTTGCACGGCGACCACAGTGATCAGATGTGCGTAAAGCAGTGTATGAAAGTATGATTCATACAAAGCTTAATATTGATGGCTTGTGAGACCTCCTTACACTGGCACATTTGTGATGAGGCCAACCACATTAAAACTGAACAAAGTGTGCCAACTTTGAATTTTGATACAGTTCGTTGATTGAAACTGTTATCTTGGATTACCGAAGGTTTCAACATCTTTGGCATTGATTAAGTCTGCCAGCTCAGCTTCGTGCCATATACCAAGCTGGGTTTGGTCATAACAGATTTTGCTGCACATTCTGTATTCACGTTAAACATTGGTGTGCTCACAACTGAACCTGTGATGTCCAAACTCCCCAAAAATATATAAATGAAATATCCCTCTAAGACTGACTGTGAGTTCTCTTGGCTCTCTGTGTTGTGCTCTTTTTCATGCTCTTAAGACTTCTCACTATAATGGACTTCTACTCTACTACGTTCCAAGTTAGAACACTTGCTTATGTATTCATCTTCTATATACCAAAGTAATAATTATTGTAGCTACCTACTCAGTTTTAAAGTGTCAAATAATTATATACACCGCTTTTAGAGATACGTGCATGTTTGTTCTAATTTCAGGTTTTACTTTATTTTACTGTACCTTTGGTTTATTAAATTTTGTTAACTCTATTTCCAAGTATAATTTAAATCCTTTTCTTCATCCCACCATTCTTTGAGCCCTTTGTCTGCTGTTGTCACAGGGACTGTGAAGAGTACTGTTTTCTGAGATGTGACACCATGTTGTCTTTTTGATAGGTACCAGTGTTTCAGAAACACTGGCATCTTGAGAGCCGGAGGCTGGAGATTCCTCCGATACATTTGTTTCAATCTGCCAGACTACATGGCATTGCATCTGAGGGGCAGTAATCATTACTGTCTCTTTTTGCTTCATAATAGAACTCTTGGCTTCATTTGTTACTAAGAGTAGTGTCTATATATGACCAGAAAAATCTTGAATGGAAATTTTGTCTGTTATTAGATGCTTAAAGGAAAAATTTACTAGTTGGAACATCATAAATAGGATAATACTTCAAATTCCACAAAAGGTGCATATTAAGTGGTCTATGAAGACAACACAGACTAGAGTTGATGGTGCTCAGGTCATCTGTATATTATGTTGTTCTTGTCTGCAGCCACATCATTGTGCTTCGCTGAGAAACAGGCATACACACAGGAAGTTCTGGCTGTGGTGATGCAGCATTTGATGGAGCTGAATCCATTGCCAACATTACTGATGCGAACAGTTATACAGTCTCTCTCTCTATATCCATGGCTCATAGGTTTTGTCATGAACATCCTACAAAGGCTAATATTGAAACAGGTAACATATCCAAGTTAAACTTGTTTGCTGTACCAAACATGAAGAGAAGTCAGAAAGTATCTGCGATAACTAATTGACTAACTCCATGGAGTTGAATCCTTGAGAAGCTGCCAGTTGCCAAGTTATTCAGGAATTTCTCAATATTTTATGGAACCTCAAATGCCCAGGTTCACATATCAAGTGTCCCAGTGTATTGTAATGGGTAGGGGTGTGCTGTAGATGATGGTGGATTGGTAATCAGATTTATTGTCTACTTTAACACATACTTATGACTACACATAACTATAACAGCCTCACTGGTTTATACATTCTACAGATCACTGTACCTGGCAGCCATTTCACACCAACCTCCCAGTCTTCGCTTCACAGACTTTCTTACAACTGACTGCAGCTCGACTGGTATCCTCGTTATATAACACTGTTTCCAGCAGTTCATGTATTGATACATTTGGACTCGTTGCTGTGGTAAAAGTAAAATAAAATGTATCCCTGTAACAGGCTGTGGAGGCTCATAGGGTTGTGAGATGTTGAGGCTCCCACATTTTGTAGACACTCGGCTCACATATGGTAGTTAGGTTGTCAGCCTTACGCGCCGGCTGTCTTTTAACCCCAGGAATATTCCTGGTACTCATTTCTGTTAGAGGTGGTCGTTACCTAGTAACGGGTCTATAAGCTGCAGTATTTATTAAAATTAACAAAACAGCAGTAAATTATGCACAGGTACAAACTTTTTCAATATACTTTGTCCAGAATTGCACAAGGTAATGTATTCCGTCAAGAAGAAATATTTTTAACTGGGTGGCAAGTGACATGTGTACTGCCCCCTTCAGGTTCTGTTTTCTATCAAATTGGTGGCTTCTTAAAGCATTCTTGAGGGTCCAAATAGACAAAAATCTGGTGAAGCCAGGTCAAGGCTGTATGAGCAATGTTTTATGATCTCAATCCTAACTGCTCGAGTGAGTGTTTTGGTAGTGTGGCAGCAGTATGGGGACAAGCACTGTTATGCAGTGCAACACAGCACCTTATGACAGTTGTGCCCAGTTTTTACTCCAACTTACTGGCTTCAGCTTGTCATGCAGGATCTCGCTGCAGAATGTACTGTTTATCATCACATCCCTTTCCTGATAATGCTCAGACACTTGTCCCTATGAATCCTAGAAGAGTGTGAACAGTGTGGTTGAGTCTTTAACATCATTCTGATAGGGGATGTTGGGTGTTTCCACTCTTCCATTGAGTACTGACATGGGAGGAACAATATATGGTCTCCCAAAGCACTCAGACCACCTTTGGATTCATTGTGTGCCCCCACTTTTACTAGAGGTCTTCAAAAGTACCCTATCTGAAGCACTAGGGCAGGAACCTGTCTGACTGAGGCCCTGCTAATGTCTGTTAACTCCACTACAGCAGAGCTGAAGATAATATTATACTGTAGCATCCTGTTACACAATCAGATGTTCCTGGTTCCACTGTCTCACATGCAACACGTCCTGTACAACACTGTGTCCACCACAAATCTCACTTGGCCAGACCCGGGATCGAACCCGGGCTGCCGCGATGGGAAGCCAGCGGCTAACTGCTTGAGGTATGGTGTGGCCTAAGGTGGGAAGGATTGTCTCCTTGGTCTCACATAACTCTCACCTGTCCCAGGAACCCCAGTCATTCAGGACACATCTGTATATCAGATTAGCCCTCCAGACTGAAGAGTCTTTTTCAATTCCATACTCTGACATTTACTGGGGCATGCAGTAGTGTAGTTGGTCATTGGATTTTTCAATTTACTTAATCCTTCCAGCCGCACTATGGCCCTGTGGTCAACTCAGCCTCTCATAGAAATGAGTACCAGGAATATTCTTGGAATGTTTTTTGGGGGTAAAGGGCGGCCAGCGTGTAAGGCTAACAACCTTACCGCCATCTATGAGCCGAATGTCTAGAAAATGTGGGAACCTCAAAATCTCACAACCCTATGGGCCTCCACGGCCTCGTACAGAGATACCTTTACTTTACTTATTTTTAATCTGTCATTTACTGTATGGCATGTAGTACTGGATCCACATTTTGTCACCAGTGACACTGAAACTTAAAATGGCTTTATCTCCCACATGATACTTGTTGAAAAGGTGAGTACACATATCCAGTTATGCTTATGCTGTTTGATGATTTGTTTGCAATCCACCATTGACAAACTTTACAGAAATGAAGTCTGTTATAGATAACTTCAGAAGCAGACCCATGGCTAAAGTGCAGTTGGTTTACCAGTTCATTAATAGTTACCCTCTTGATGTTGAGAACTGTGGCATGGATTTGTTCAGTGTACCCTTCAGTAGCTGAGACGCACAGGTGTCCTGATCATTCTTCATACATGAAAATTGTTTGGCCATTTTTAATGTGGCAGTCCAAGCTCATTTGTACACACTTTGCCAAAACGCTGTCACTGTACTGTGCTGTACTGGTAGTCTTTTACAGATATCTCCACATCCCTTCAGTCTTCAAAAATTGAATCTTTACACACTGCTGTCATTCAGTGCAAGTGGTAAGTGGAACAGCCATGTTGACTCCATTAATGGTTAAAGACAACTGATTGAAGATCAAATAAGTCACCACAAAAGTAGGAAAATTCTGTGTGCATTGAGCAGTGAGATTGGTCGCAAAAAACATTTGAACATTTCGTTGATACATTCTGACTTACCCTTGTACATACTTACACAAGAAACATTTCTGTGTATGAGTATTTGAAAGTGAGGGAAATATATTGTGACATGTTGCGCAATGGAGGACAAACCCTTCCTCTCCCAGCAGTGACGTGGCAGCTCTGGCCACGGTGATGTATCCCCCCTTGGGCTACGTGGCACCGCTTCCTACTGTGACGAGGCACGCAACGCGCTGTGTTGTAACACGGCGTGAGGCAACAGCGGTACCGATTGCGTAACAGGCAAGTGCTGCAGCTATATAAGGGAACTACGCAGCCGCTACAGTCAGTTAAAAGTTTATCAGTCGCCGAAGGCAGTTCTCAAGCCAGCAGTGAATGAGTTTAGTTGTAACGAGTGAATCATGATAGAGTGGACAGATTTGTGTGTAGGGTTCTAACATGTGTAAACCCGTAACATTGTCATAATTAATTGTAGCCGATACTTGTAGGTTGTTAAATAAACCAATTAACAATCCGTACGGCGTCTTCAGTAACGAAACACGTTACAGTATTTAGCATTTAAAGGAACATTCAAGACGATTATCATATAGAACAAATGATAAAACAATTCCGTCCAGTGTGACTTTTGAAGCTTTTACTACTTCACCTCTTAGCACCCTAACATGTTTCGGTCCCTATAGACCATCATCAGAGGGAACATCAACACAGCACGCTATGAACAAACATAGGACGACAACAAGAACTACCTCCCCAAGAAAGACAGGTGGCACAAGTTCGGCCCTGTCAAGAAAAACGAAAGGACAAAGGACATGAACCTTTTCAGTTAAAGAATTTTAACGTAAATACCATAAAGTTTTTTTAAAAAAACTTTAATGCATCAAGGACAGTTGCTGTAGTTGTAAGAAATTTGGATTTTGTATAAAGTGTATATTACAAATATTGTATATTTATGTATTTTAAAAATCAAAACACCCAATGTAATAGTAGTTTCTAAAAGTATTGATGTTCCCTGTTATGATGGTCTATAGGGACCAAAACATGTTAGGGAGCTAAGAGGTGAAGTAGTAAAAGCTTCAACTGTCACACTGGACGGAATTGTTTTATCATTTGTAATATTGTTAGTGTGATGGGCCAGAATGAAACAAATCAAAATCATATAGAGCCATAGAATTTAAAAAGCATTGGAAAAGTTTGGTTCTTTTATGATTGCTAAAAAACCAAGTAATTGAAATAGTGTTTTATAGCATAACCAGACCCCATATCTGAAAACATAATGCTGTTATACTCGTATCCCTTGTTACCTATAGTGAGTTCATTCCTGAATTTGGCATTAGAAAGTGAGTTAATTTTACAATGGTATAATACAGTATACATTCCAAAATTATGAATAAAAAAATTTAACAATATTTGCTTACTTGTAATAATTTTTATTAATTTTTTTTATTGCTAGTGGGTAGGGACTAAGTCCCTTGTACTGCGGCCACTTCTGGCCTATTGTACCAGCCCCAGATGATATGTGAGGGTGATTGTGGAGCAATTGGTGGAATGAAGATTGGCAAGGGAAACTGAAGTACTCAGAGAAAACCTGCCCCAGCGCCACTTTGTCCACCACAAATCCCACTTGACCAGAAACGGGATTGAACCCAGGCCACCGTGGTGGGAAGCCAGCAACTAACCACTTGAGCTATGGCGCGGCCTTTTATTAATATTAGTATTACATATTATGTAATATACAAAACAAATTAACAAGTGACCCATGGGATGCTGGCAGGGCTGAAGACCAGGCAGGGCGAGGGAGTGGAAAGCCTGTGAGTCAGTGGCTTGGCAACTCTTGCTTGTTGTGGAATCTATGACACCCTTTCAGGATGTTCTTACCATCCAGTACTGTCTGAAAACAACAGCAGTTTGAGATCTAGGGTACCATTCAGCCCATCCTAGGAGCGCTTCACTGTTGTCTCAATGATCTGGGTCACTGAGCCAGCATCCTTTCAAGTTTCCCCATAATTGGCACCCTAATGTATTTGGTCTTAGTATCAGTCACACTCATTGCAACTTTCCTTGATTAATTCTATCTGCTTGCTTCCTGTTGGTTCTTAAGATCAGTTTGAGAATTACCATGGCATTGGCTATGTCAACCCTGTATTCATTATGTTCATACCTTCTCATCACATCCAATACCTTGTCTAGGGTAACAGATATCTGTCGCTTTGTCACACCAGTAGCAGTACTGTGACTGCTACCAAGTTTTCTCATGGGCATCTGTAACAATTGAATGTCACTTGAAACACTGAATGGATTGTAACTGTAGAGAGGCTCTATGCAGCTGGGCACACCTCAATCAGCAGTCAGTGGC